TTTATAAATCTGGTTCTATCATTTACCCCACTAGATTTGATCCGGCTCGAGTCACTCTATCAAGGCAGACCAAGTATTACAACTATGCTCCACATAGTCTCAATAACCATTTCCTTGGACCCTTTTTAATCTCTTTTGCTCATCTAGAAACAGCATATTATTGTACGCAGCATGTATGCTTTCATGCTGTGTGATAGGTAGATGAAGAGACGAGAGAAATGTTGGGTAATCAGTTTGAATACTAGCAGTGGGGACTGGGGACCTTCCTGTCTACATTTGGGGCTGACGCAGATGGTAGAAAGGGCTATAAAAAAATGAAGAAAAAAAAAAAAAGTCTATGAAATAGTTAGGCCTTCTTACAATGTCAGCATCAGCTGTTACAACGCGTGCATATGGGGCTCATAGTCAAATCCTTATCGCTGCATGATTGCTTTCCCTTCTCTCACATTCATTATTTCTCCTGGCCTCCTTTTAGCTTTGTTGGTTGCAGAGCTAATTCCTGAAAAAATAAAATATAAAAAATGCACAGAACCTAAGCTCACTGTGTTTAATTTAATTTATACTAAATTCAGATATAATATTTGATGAAAGAAAGAAATTCATTTGACAACAATTACAGAGCAATTATAATCGAGCTAGTGTTTTTGTTGGATTGAGTAAAAAACCGGGTGAATGATGGATGGATAGTACACAGCAAACAAAATTATATTTGGCTGATATTTTATAGCAAAAGAGACATGTATGAATGGCTTAGGAACTTCCTTTATTGAATAAATTTATTTTTAAAACAGCAATCAAGCACACTTGGGAAACAAACCAGAGTAATTTAAGATTATCACCTGGGCTGCCTTTGTTTATCTGCAGTTTTTCTGCGTGCAGTGTAAAAAAATACAGTTAGGTATTTAATAACATATCAAATTGTATTTTTTATTACGTGGCTCATTAAAAAATTGAGTTTAAAATATAATTTAAAAAAAACAGTTATTACATGTTTTTGTGCTCGAGTTTCGTAAAATTCTGTTTATTTTTAGGTTTTAAAAGTATTTTAAAAAAATATTTTTAAAATTTAAAATAATATTTTTTTTTTGTGTTTTCATATTATTTTAATGCATATATATTTTTTTGTGTTTTCATATTATTTTAATGCGCTGATATCAATAATAAATTTTATAAAATAAAAAAATTATCTTGATATATTTCAAAGTAAAAAACATTTTGAAAAACAAACACAATCACGTCCATAACTACATAATTACAAAACATTTTATATATGTTTTTTTGTTATATATAAATCTCAACTATAATTTTTATCAAATATATATCTAATTATATTTTTTAAAATTTATTTTTTTTCAAATCCCAACCATAAAAACTACCTCAAACTCAAAATATACATGCAAACACACTTTTAAAAATAATAAAAATATACCGTACTACCATAACATGATTGTTCATTATGTACATTGAAATCTTGCATCACGGTCACATAATAAACTTTATGATAAACAACAAGTACCAATCATTGATTTCTCAACTATATTTTCCACTCATTAAAGCTTTGAAGAATCGAGAAGATAAAAGCTTCAACATGTGACCTCTTCCACTAAAGTTCGTACCAAGTGTCATGGGCAGGAAAAACGATAAAGAAAAAAAAATGGTCTGAACATGTGCACCTCCGAATCCAACCAATCATTAATTTCTCAACGATAATCTCCACTCCCTTGAATTTGAAGAATCAATGAGGTATGACTTGAGAGAAAATGAAGCCCATCTCCCTTGCTTTGTCAAAGCTCATAAAGGGGCACAAAAACATTGAACATTATGGCATTGAATTCTTCAATCTCGCTAGCTCCACTTTTTCAACATTGCTATGATACATTCGTTAAAATCCATGTGGCTTTTAGAGCTGTTGATTTTTATTGGGCTGGGGCTACTGCCTATTCTTGGCACTTCATGATTGTTATTGAGATGTCAATCTAAGGTAATGTTATTTTCTTTATTAAAATAATACTATTTTGTTTTCTTGTAATGAGACCTGAATTTTAGTCGGATTAATGGAATCACTGAAAACTCGTATAGATTAATAGAGTGAGGGAACACCTAGCTAAGCTTAAAACATGTCGCCACTTAATTGCTGCATGCTCTCTAGCATGATTCACGTTCACTTTTCAACCATCGAACATGGTGACCTTTCGCCCTAGGACCGCCTCCTTCCCTGGTTCTTCTTGGTACCTGCAACCTTGTTCAGATAAATGGCTAAAGATTGTAGCCATTTCGTCAAAATAAATTATAGAGGTTGCTCCAATCACCGGCCGGGAAGGCTTTGCCGAACACTTCATTTTATGGGTCCTGAGTTTTAGCTATCAAATGGCTTTCAAAACAGTTTTCTATATGAAACACGTTTTTGGTCGAAGAGATATAAATAATTAAAGATAATCATGTTTTTATAATTTTTATTCTTTAAAACAGAAAATACAAGAAAAACATGTTCTTTCATCTGCATGATTCTCGTCTCTTTTATCTTTAAATAACCAAATTATCTAAGAAATTAAGATTCATAACCTGTATCTGGCATGGGGATGAAATTAGACAAGAGTAAACTGACCTGAACAAGAATAGAAGAACTGTCTGTCCCATGTAAAAAGGAGGCAGGGACATGGGACTTGGACACAAGTAGGGACAAAAAAACTAATGAGTTCACACTGAAGATCAATACAAGTAAATTTCTCTACACTGTAAAATGGAACGGAGGTAACGATGTGATAGCTTAATGGTTATTCATGCAGGGAGAGATGTATTGAAAGAAACAGACGTTTCTATAGTGTTGTTCAATCATAGCCATTTACTGGTGCAATGATCATTATGAATTTAGGAGATAAATCCTTTTTTTTTTCCCTTTTTTAATCGTTGTCATCCCTACCCCTATCGCTATTGCTATCATATCATCATCATCATCATCATCCTCGTCATCAGATGCCTCTTACTGGGTACCACACATGCAAGTTGCTAGACACGCAGACAAGGTTCATGAGGGAACTGCAACCTCGAACTCTTGTGATTATAAGGTGGTTCCCCTACTGGCAGGGCTTGTAGGGTTCATGTTCTGTTCCTTCTTTTTGCTTGTGTAGAAGATGAAAGAAAAGTGAGAGGCATCCTTGACCAGACAACTCATTGTATTTTACACATGTAAGCAAGCCCATCCTTTGATTAATTATCAAGGACTTTCTTCTTTTCGGTTAGAAAGTGCTTTTGCAAATATTTATTAATTAACATTTGCGGTTAGAAAGCGCTACTATTGGAGGCAAAACCATACATGCTATGCAGCCTAGCCTAGCCTAGGGTTTCATGAAATGATGAGTACTTGATTATCAAACCATAATCAAGCAGCTGAATATGATATGTATCACATCATGGTTTACATAGTTCATCATAGACAAACGCACTGCAAGAATTGAACATCTTAAATTAATCACACAAGCTGTAGGATCTCATGAAATGATAATCATGGATCTTTCACGATGAATCAGAGTCTGATTTAAGGCAGACAAGAGTTGCAGTGTAATTTAACAAAATTGTCCGATTTGACTTGTAATTTGAATAACAAGGGACTAATATTTTGATTTTTTTTTTCCCTTTCAAACCAGCACTTTTCCAAGAACATACTTGAAAAATATCACTATTTTCAGAAAAGTAACAATCTTAATGGACTGCACTATTCAAATTAACCCATTGTTCCTGGCAAAGCAACCTTAAATTTTGTCTTTTTGTAAACAATCCAAACAAAAAATTTAGAAAAAACGAAGGTAAGAAAAAGTATCATACAAACCTTACAATGTTTGTTCATAAGAATAATCGACACTAAAGAAGAACAGGGAGAAGCACATCAATGGTGGCCCTATTGTCTCTAGAACTTTAAACTTAAACTCCATGGTATTGTTTGTGCAATAAGTAAAAGAAGAGAGTTGTAGTGGAGAAAAGAAATTAGACATGGCACCTCACTAGAGATTTTAACGGGGGAGGATGAACATAAAAATGGCAAGTTGGGCCCCGGACGAGTGAAAGATCGAGAGAGATAGTGATTTGATAATTAAAAAAAAGTTTGTTACCCGGTTATGGATGATAGCAGTAGCGATTAAATATGTGCAATGATGAAAACTAGAAATAATTTTATTTTGCATTAAATGCAGCATAAAATCAAGGCCAGAAGAAAACAATTGTGTGGAATAGTTAATGATATGAAGATCATAAGCAATATCTAGCCACCAAGATAGTAATTGCCATGGGAAGAGTTCAAGAAAGAAAAGACGAATTACGCACTTTTGAATTAAAATCTGAAATTGACTCTAAAAATAATTAAAATAAAAAATAATATACAAGTTTTTTGAATCCCGGCTAGATATAGCGAGCCAACACCATATATAATTAAACCTATAAAATTATCTAGTAAAATTTTAACCCAATTCAAAATCTAAAATATGGCTATTTTTTTGAGACTATATGTTTAATATCTTCAGGCTTGCTCATGTATTTTAGCTAGTCTATTTGATTATGTACGTATTCACAATCTATATATAATTTTTCAAAAATATTTCTTGGTTGTGCTATTCATTTCATTGAGTTGTTCATAGTAACATAACTCATTAGCCTGTGATATTCTCTAAAACATTTTGAAACTGTGTTAGTTTTAATTATTATTATTATTTTTTAATTTAGAAACGTGGTATTTTAAGAAACCACCCATCAAATTAGATATAAGCAATCGTAGACATGAGTCAAAATCATAATTGCACTAGAAACAAAGAAGGGCCAAAACCAAACCCTAGCATATTGTTATTAGAACAAGGCATCATAGCAGGACAGCTGTGTTGGGCTTAGTGGACCAGTTCGAATGCCAGCACACACACACACACTCCATTGCTCATCCTGTTCAAACACTCTCGCAGGAAACTCATGATAGCAGATGGTAAAACCAATCAAACAATAAATTCTCAATGCCTTCGAAAAGAAAATCCGGCAAGACATTAATGCTCTTTGTCGAAACATTGAGGAGGAGAGACCAACCTTTACTTAATTGTCAATACAAATCCTTTTTAAACACCTAATAATACCTCTCCAATAGAGTCCACCAGAGAAGTGGCATGCGTTTAGGATAACTTTAGTTTTTGAGAAGCTTAGTGTGAGATCCCACTCTTTCACCAGTAATGAATCACTAGCCTGTAGGGATTTCCCTCTACCACTTTGCTAGATCACGTACTGAGATGCTCGACTCAATATGTGATCATTCATGCTCTCTTTTTAAGAGATTATCAATGGATTGACTATTAGTGGGATTCACAGTTCAAACGAGAGCCCTTTTCCCTGCAAGACCCAAGCAAATATGGATAATCTTCTAGTTCACATTCTAAGGAAATAGGGCCAATCCTACCCTCAAAGTTGCATGCACAAATTAAGATAAACACTTCATCTGAGGCATTCTTACCTCCCCAGCTAATGGTCCATGGACAGTCATTGCTTCAAACTGGTTCACAATAACTTGCCCCTGCAGAAGTTTAAGTCGTTAGCCAAGTGAAACCAGAATGAGATTCCATATGAATGCAACACTTTCAAGACTGAAGGCATATTATACCAGTTCTAAGAAAGGATATAGGGATTCTGCATTTTTTAGTCACTTGTTTGGGTAATAGAATTTGCCAACACCTTGAGCATCAACCAGAGTCCAATGAGCAGGATTTTCCACTAATCCGATAACCCTCCTGTCTGTATGCAGAGAAAGCATTTTGAGACATAAAGATAATAGACATCGTGAAAACCAACACTTCAACCTTGAATGCTATTTGAGATATGTGATGAACTTGCGAACAGATTCTTTTCTTGTGTCGTGTTTATACTTTCAGGAGAACAGAGAGTTGTTAGAAAATCAATTACAAATGTCAAAACTAAATTGAGCTTTCATACGTTTAATTTGTCTGATAGTCTGACAAATCTTTTCTAATTTTCAGAAAGCTTTTCTCTGTGAAATTTGGACTTTTCATAAATGGAGTTTGCAGATGGGACAACACGATCATATTTAGCTTGTGGCAGGAGAGTTTAAACAAGCCTCTATTGATAATTATTTAACTGGTTTATGGTCTGACAACGGTTGGTTTCAAGTCTGTTTTTCTGTGTTCTTAAAATTGCTCGACTCTGCCATATTGTCTGCCTACAGTTTTTGCTCGTGTTCTTTTGCATATTTGGAACATGTCCTGACACTACACCTTATCATTTTTAAACATTCGAAGAAACCTATAATTCATTTTTTTTGACATACAAAATCAAAACAAAAAATATACGAATATACGTAGGTTACCAGCCAACAGACGCAACGTTTTAACACGCATGAACAAATAGTTAATGATAAAACATCATTTAACCATTCTCTTGCCACGATACCATGAGTTCAAACTGCAAAGTTTAAAACGCAGTAATACTAACAGCACAAGTGAGGGATCAAAGATAAATCATCACAAAACTATTGTTGCATTAATAAACATAAGAATTCTGATTCTCCCTTGGAAGACTAATATTTCCCTGCCACCAGCAAATTAGGTCAGGAGCTACCACTTGGTGGAATCTAAAATACCATTGTTAGTTTCGGTAGCGATTTTTCTGGATAGACCAACTAGTTGTAGCTCTAGCTTAGAGTAACGAGTTGGTAAATATGCGGTCAATAGGTGAAAGTTCAGCTGTGCAAGTAATTGATGTGTAGTGTGTACTATGTCGTGTAAAAGGGTTCAGAAATAGCCAAGCAATTGTAACTAGGCCAAAAAATTTAAGGCTCTCTACCATGTAACCTTGCATGAGACCTTCCCTTCAATAGTCCAAGGCCTATAATGTTTCTTTCAACTCTGAAACTATAACCATTTCTATAATCAATTCATTTCCACACCTAAAATATCAAACTTTGCACACTTAAACCCCCCAAAACTAAAACCTCAACTAAACCTAAGTCCCTCTGGAAGAACTCCATGTATTGATGATCCATGAGATGGTTTTCTACTACTATATTTATATTTGACATATAATGTATTTTCTAACAGAAGTAACTAGATTACTGTTCTATCCCTAGCCTAAAAAATAAGGGACATGAAAAACTATGGAGCAAGAAAGGTAAGAAGTATTGTCATGCACATGAAACTGATGTAATTGATATGAAACAAGGATGGCAAAGTCCTCAATCCAAATCTGCTAGCAGTTTGATATTAACCAGGCATGCAAGATATCTTAATGAAACCCATGTGATAGCCAATGTCATCTTTCGACAAAGCATCAACTAGTTGTTTGGATACTGTTACGTGTCTAAAAAATTTCACAACAACATGGTATGGTAATGTGTAGAAAAAGAGAAGCCTGTACAAGGCTAACAGAGCAACAAAAAGTTTAGGTGTGAAGTCTCTTGTCGCACTGAATTTGGATATCACAAATACAAAAGAACAGGGAAGCAAAAAATTCAAAAAGGAAATAAAAAACTAAATAAAATTATTGAACATGTATATTGTATATAACTAAAGGCAGAAAGAACCAAACGAATCTTTCACCAAGAGTTCATGCGCGTACCGGTTAAATAGCTGCTTTCTGTCTTATAGAACACCTACTATGCAATCAAGGATGATGCTGCGTGCTTCGGTAAACGTGTCTTTAGTAAGAAACCACATAGATTCCCAATGAAACAGCCAGATAATAAATCTACAACAGCAAAAGTATAAACACCTGTAGTGTGATCCCAATATTTTGCTTAAATTGCAATTGGCACTCAATGCCTAGATTGGCAAACACGGTCTTCATAAACACAAACATGTATCAGTTTCCAACAACACAACTAAATCACAGTACTCAGACAAGGAACATGCAATCAATTTAACCCTTATTTCTATGGCTACATCAGTTCAAGCTTCTCCTTCTACGTTCACGGTTATGTGCATTGTCTGCTCCTGCAGCTCTAGGAACTTCAACCCTTCTCCTGGATGATGAAGAATTTGTTTCTACACTATTGTCCACTTCTGAAAGCCTAAAAACTAGATTTCTTCTTCTAGAAGATGAAGAAATGGGCACACTAAAATTGCTTTCTATAGCAGTACCCATTCTATGGCTTTCCAATTGAGAAACAGTGACAACATCGTCAGGCCTGGAAGAAGAAGCAGACTGTGGCAATGTAGAATCAGCATCGGCAACAGTATCCGGGTTCTGGCCGTCAGGTTGAATAACAGCAGCAATGCTTGAAAATGAATCTCTATCAGCAGGACGTGAAGATTGTTGATGGTTTCTTCTCCCACGATGGCTGTGCAAAATTGCCCCAAGGTCCTCAAATAATCTTTCAGTAGATTCCATAGCAGATTCCATTGCAGAGTTCACTGCAGATGAAAAGGAGGATAGTGAAGCAGCTCCTTGAAACAGTAACCTAGAAACTTGAACAGAACGGTGGTGCTGGCTCCTGTCTGCTCCTATGGAAGGCAGTGCCTGAGAAGTACTGGTTCGATTTGCCAAGAAACTGATTCTGTCAGATTCAAGAGGAACACCATCAAGACCCTCTGACGGAGGTATCTCCCCCATTGCAATGAGCACATTGCCAATATACCGCATTCTTTCCTCAATGGAAGAAGAAAATGCACCGTGATTAATGAGTTGTTGTCTCACACTCTCAACTCTTTGTGCAGAGGGCCTAGGAGGAACCCTCAAGCCAGACTCCTTTAACTTGAGCTTCTTGTTATCATCACTGTTTCCATTGCCATAAATTGGAATAATACTTGTATCTGTAACCTCTTCCACACAAACAGGGCATTCTTTCACATTCGAGTAAACATAAGACAGCTGATAGAAGCACGGCCAGCAAAACAGGTGTCCACAACAAGTTAATATAGGATCTTGTGCCATATCAAGGCATACGTTACAATCAAATACACTCCTCCTGTCAGTTCTGGCCTTCTTACCATTCCCATTCCTGCCTAACGCTTTAGCTATCAAATAGGTACTCTTTCTTTTGCCAAATTTATTCATCTCATCTCTCCTTTCTTCAGTAGCAACACTAGCCTCCCCAATAAGCAGCTCACCATCACTGCGAACATTAACAGTAGCTGGTTCCACAGAAACATTCACTGTTTGAGGGGTAAAGTGACTTTGTCTCCATCTCTGTCGTTGTCTAGCCCTGAAAGTAACTGCTTCAAGCTGCCTGAGGCGTTCTTCTATATGACCATGGGTGTTTTCTAATTCATCTCGTATGGATGCTAGTCCCAACAGCGAGTCATTGGAAGGGTATAAAGGCTCTTGGTTCAAATCAAGATCCATTATTTCTAGCAAAAAACTTACACCAATCTGATTCAAAAATCTTTCTACAACAAAAACCAAAATCTCAATATACCCTACCCTGCAAAGAACAATAAAAACACATTCTTTAACTCAACCAGAAACTGAAATTTCCCATTATCTTAAACTCCCTCAAAACAAAAATTAATTGACACAATTATCACTCTCTGAATAAGTAAATAAGAGGGGGAAAAAAATCCAAACTTTACTAAACTAAACCCTCCCTGCATACCCAAAAAAGAAAATCAAAATCAGCTTAAGAAAAAAAATAATTAAAATCCAAACCAAATCGAACTCCGACCAAAATGAAAAAAAAATAAATCCAAAACCAGCTCAATCATTGATTTAGTCACTAAAAAACAAAACCCAGAAACTGAAAGTTCTCCCCTCTATATTTTTAATCTTTTTTTCAAGCAAAAAAAAAAAAAACCATTCATCTTTTGAGGCCCAAGAATGTAAATAAGACCAAGATTGTAAGCAAAAACACAATCAAACAATAGCAACAATAATAATCAAGAAATTGAAAAAGAAAAGAAAAGAAAAGGATAAGCACCTGTATGGGGCAGATGAACAACTCAGGTCTTCTTCAAGATCAAAGATTTATCGATAAAATCATTTTATAGCAATAAATAAAAGTCAAAGCAAGAGGTGGTAGTTGTTTGAGGGATTGATTGACAGGTGCTTGGTTTCTTGCATGTTCCAGGCCAGCTGGGTATAAAGTGCTGTCGTTTTGAGCACTGACTTTGATGTCCCTGAGGATTTAGGATTGGAGTTGTGGCACCAAAGCTACTAGGTCAAGAAACTTGGGTCCTGTTATATTCTTTTGAGAGCTAATGATATTTTTGGTGGTTTCTGCTTTGTTTAAATCTCCATTTTAGTCCATATACTCTTAATTGTCTTCTATTTTTGTCCATGGTCTTCGAGAAAAATCAATCATGTGCCCATGGCATTGTATTTTTAAGTAATCTATATGGAGAAAGAAATAATTTGATTGATTAAATTCGAATGCATAGAAATTAAATAATTTTGATATGTAATGTTTTTTTGTCGAGTATATAATTTGTCTATATATATATATATATAAACTTTAGAACACAATGAAATGTCTTAAATCACAATTTTCTTCTCAGAAATCAGCATCAACTACAACAGATTATTCATGGGGACAGTGAGTTGATCTTGATGGCTAGTAGCTTCCTTTAGTGCAAATCTTATTCCCAAGTACTGATGATGATCATCATAATACAACAATTAGAATTTAAGGGTGCGTTGTTTTTTTTTACTTCCCAAGGATTCTGTTTTTCTCTTGCAAGAAAAAAAATATCCTGGAACCTCAGATTATTAAAGCATAGAGAAACAGACGTTGTCAATACACATGAAAAATCTGAATAGATAGCTAAAAACTGGAACCACCTCCAAGGTCCATTCCACCTCCAAATCCTCCAATGTCAACTCCGCTTAATGATGATGACAAATCCACACCACCCCCACCAAAGGTGCCTCCAAGATTAATACCTCCGCCACTATTATTTCTGCCACCACCAAGACCACCGATGCCAATACCAAGTAGTGCTGGCAACAATATAGAGCCTAGCTGGTTCAATGAAGAATTCGCCTGCCCCCTTGGTCTCCCATTAGACATAGGCATATTTGATCCAAAAACATTTGAGGTAGCAGCTTTTGGCACATAATTGTTGGGGGCAAGGTTTTCCATGACAGGAACTGTTGCCAGTGGAGTTCCAACGGCCTGATACCGAGGAATACCTGATACTGGTGCTGCTGATTGGTAGTATTGGGCTTGAGCTTGAGCTGGATTTGGCTGTGATACGGCACAATCCAAGTGAGCATCAAATCCACAGAGGTTGCACCTATAGAGCCATTGCTTGGAACCAAAGTTGTGGCATATGTCACAAGAAAAGCTCATGTTAGGGTAAGGAACAAAGGGTATAAGATTCAACTGGTGATGATGAGACTGGTGGGTGAGCACCAAGGGCATGGCCGCACATGTGGTATGGATATAAATGTTGCAAGTTCCACAATGGTAAGAGAAACCATTTCCTTGCTTCCCACACGCATCACAGTTGAATAAGTCTCCAGGATACATGGGGGTTGAGAGGAGAGACAGAACATGGTTTTGGTGATATGGATGAGTGATCTGTTGAGGCATCTGGGAACAAGAAACATGAAGAAAGTAGTTGCACTGTGTGCAAGCGTAGATCGATCCCGAGATCTTGAGCTTGCAACATGAACATGAAGCTAGGCAAAGCGTCTGTTGGGGCTGGTAATTGGAGAGCTGTAATGGGTGTGGATGGCTGAAATGCTGAATTGCAGCTTCAGTTTGGGCAGGTAGCCTCCCCATGAACCTCAGATTTTCTCTCTTCTCTCAACTTGTTTTTAGTGGTAAATCAAACACTTCTGCTCAAATTCGCATGATATCGACACACGGTGCTACCGTTGACTCTGATATCAAGCAAGGTCAACTAAAGACGCGGTAGAGTTTCCAGGTCAAGTTGCTTTTGTTTAACATGTTTTGATAACCATAAGAGCAGTAAGGGATTTGAAAACTAAAACTCTGAGCTGGATGGAACAAAGTAGCTGGTTGGTGGCAGGCCATGACAAATTCGTATGGAACCTAACAAGTGGTTCACAGGCAATTTTTACCAAGTTGCAAGGAAAAAGGTTGGGGAAATTGCTGAACCTACTATTTACTGTGACAGGCTAATGATGAGCCTAAGGCTCAATTGCTGACATTAAAAGAGAGGTTAATTGACAGTGCAATGAATTGATTCTTCAACCTTGCTTTCTTTCTACTTTCTCAGCACTTCCTACACCAGAAACCACTCTTAGCACATAGAAAGCAATAAGACCTTATAACCATCGAAGAGATTCAACTTTCTGGCAATGCCACTTTGGAATAATGAACCTTCAGAGAAGCAACTAGGTCCGTTCTCACCAAATCTTATTCACTGTTCAGTTAGCCGCACTCGTTGAACAAATATTATGCTTCTATAATTATACAACCAATCTAACTATCAAATTATATATTATTATTGACCTTGATTTTTCCTTATCTTGAGGATGTAATAGAGTACGGAATGAGGAGATACATATCCTGATATCCCAATATAAAATTCTAGTTGACTTTGGGGTTAAGAGAATCCTGCTTATACGCGACCTTGCCTGCCAAATTCTAGCAGTAGAATTTACTTGATCAAATACACTAAGATGGAGGAGATGCAGAAGTTGAGAGCAGAATTACCAACTTTTTTCGCTAAAGACACTTGTTGGAATCCTTGTGAGAGGCCAATATGATCATAGGAACGACTTCATGGTTGTAAGTTTGCAAGCATGCATTCTCGTTCTCACAATGCATGAGAATTATTATACCTCAATTTTTAACATGTTGATTTTTAATTTAATTTTACAGGAGTTAAAATATAAAATTGAAAAATTAAAAATTTATTTTAATGAAAAATATAATTTATCAACTTATAAGAAAATTAGAAATTATAATGTGTCTCAACTCTCCCCCAGTCTCAGTCTCTTCCCCATCAGACAGACACTTCATTCTTCAATCTCAACCCCTAGGAGTTGCAACTTCTCATATATACAAGTCCTTTTTCCCTTCCAGTCACTGACCTTCAGTCTCTCTTCCCCTCTCTCCGCAGCTCCCTTATAATCACAATGCCATCAATAGCTCCAGCAACCGGGAGCAAACACAAGCTAGCAGCAGCAGCAGCAGAGGGAACTCTTCTGTCCTTTCCTCCTCTCCTAAAGCAGCATCCACCGGCATCCGATGCGCCCTGCATGTCCAGCAACAGCCTTCTTTTCGGTCCAACACTTGGAGCAACACCAGTATCGCAGTGTAGCAACAACAAATAGCACAGGCAAGCTTCACCGTGCTCCTCTCGTCCTCCATTAAAGCAATGTTTGGAAATTGGGTCTTCGGATTGCTTTGCTGGAAGATTCAAGACCACCGTCTCCATTTTTGCCACCACTTGCTAGTGTCAAGGGAGGGATGTCATATTGGGTCTTCGGATTCATGGGCCTTTTCATATTTCAATTTCTTAATTGGATTTTGTCTTTAAAACAAGCCCACTTCTCCAACTTTATTAGCTTTAAGGCCCATTAGCCTTGAGATGCCGAGAAATGCTTATGCAATGTAGCTGGAAACTAATGTATAATTATAATATGACATGAACAAAATTTTATGGAAATAATAATTAAGGGTTAACATCATATTAGGGCTCAGCCTTACACCAATTTTAAATTGAGTCACCAAATTGATTGTTTTATCAATTGGGTCCCCAAAGCATACACCAATTCTCTAGATTTCTCAAAATTCTTAAAATGAATATGAGAAAAATTTCCCAAAACATAAAAGCAGATAGATCAAATAGTTATATAACAAAAGCTAAACAAATTCTGTATTCTAGAGAGAAAAAACACTCAACCTTCTCATTGATTTTTTCAATATTATATGAATAATGCTGCAATTTCTCCTAAATTATGAAGGATTTGGGTATGAAATTCTTATAGAGGAAAATAGACATTTTGTTCTACCTTTAGTAAAACTTTTACATGGAATGGCTTCTTGGTTATTGAGAATCAAAATTTTCAAACCCTTCAAGATAGAGAAGATATTAAAGTTGCTAGGGTTAAGAGGGCATTTTTTTTTTTTTTTGTCTTAAAGCTTAATTGGTTAAAACTCCTATTTGACATCTAGGGATTTAAATGCAAAACAAAATTTAATCTCAAAGGCTAGACTGTCAATATGCTATCGGAAAATAAATCATGATATCCTATTAAAAATAATATATATTTATTTTTTTAAAATTAATTAATAAAATATCACTAATTACTTTCTCAATACTATAATATTTTTTTGTCTACTGCAACCTTTTCTCATAATGTTGTATTGGAAAAAATTACCCGTATAAATTCAAATCTCAAACTAAATCAATAACATCATTTCAAAAATGGATTGATATCAACAATAACAATCAATAAAAAAATAAAAAAAATAAAAACAAAGAAAAAAGACAAATCTCATCAAGGGGTACATCTAAAGATGGAAAGCTTTCAAAAATAATAAGCGTTCAGCCGAAGAATTTGTTGCCAAAAACAACATACGCTACTCAAATTTCATTGAAATCTAGTAATTATTGACAAATATATTAAAAATATATTAAAAGGCATTAGAGATTTCTTGTAGCCATAGACATGCTTTACTATTCACTATAATAATGGAATTACGTTTATAGCCTTGAAAAGAACAATTGATTGCTTTAGGTTTAGAGGCGTTTTGGTTATTTTATATTATTTATTTGTCATCACTAATTTATCTGGAGCTGTTTTTGTTAATTCATCGTTTAATGTACAATAAAATAAATAAATTACCTAAATTTAATTGTTATTTTATTTTTTTTAAGCTCATAATTTTTTAGTTTTGCCTTTCAATATTTATACTCATAGCATATCAATAAATAATAAGTTTTAATTGTTGATACATGTATATTATTGATAAGTACATTTAAAAATGTGCAAATTAGTTAAAATATTTGGGATATTTATTGTGAAGCGAATAGTTTCCTAATCTAGTTAGGAGAATTTTATAAAAATATGATTTATTTTAAATTTAATTTTAGATTTTATAAATTAAACCAAACCCAAAAAAAAAACTCACTATAAATCAAAGACTCATTAAATCAATGCTTATTAAAAAAGCACAATTAAAAGATCAAATTAACCCTGTTTAGTTTTTTTATAAAAATACAAAATCAAAGTGAATCATTAACTCAATTTAATTATTCGTTCAAATCAAGATTAATTTGA